CACACAGATTTTAAACACTATGTTTTTATGTTACGCAACTGCGGTATTTTAAGCTAATTATTGGTTTGGCTTGAAATTAAAAAAAATATAACTTTGCATTGTTCGCTGTGTGTCCAAATTGCAAATGAATCTTTAATATGTAATCATTTATCTATAGTACATAACCTAAAAATTTCATGCATTCATTTATAAATAGTTTACAGGAACGATTTGTATGTTTTTTAGAGTTTAACCGAAAGTAACATTTAGTTTTAACGGTATTTAACTTATTTACATATTTAAATAAAACACTTTAACGGTTTAAAGCGCGATATATTAGTTAAACTTATTTGAAAATGATTTTTAACTTCGGCCCGACGTTTCGGATGCTTTGCAGCAGCCGTGGTCACGGGGAGACGGCGTTTTAAACCGTTAAAGTGTTTTAATTAAATGTGTACTACTCGCGTAAACTATAGACATTATTTATTTACATACTAATTTAACTTTTAGAAGACTGCAAAGTTAGTAACTTTGCAGTGGTCAACTAAGTGGTATACCTTGCAGCCGTGGTAACTAACTCGCGAAAATTACTGACAGTATTTAAAAAAATGGCATTCTACTGCGTAACAAAAGCAATTTATAACTTCACCATTGTGACCGACTCACACTTAACCGTTTTTTATTAACATTAATACGCGACGGCGAAAACTACAATGATTACAGTAATTCTTAAACTCGACTCCGAGGGCGCCATTTTGGTAAATTACACTGTATGAGAATATTAATAGCACTGACATGGTCATTGCAAATAATCTTCGTACATTATGATTCCTTAATACAATTGTTCCTTAATGTATTGACTTTTGATGGTTTTTTATAAGTGTATAATGACATATACAAAAAATAAACAAGGGCCCGAACCCACAACACTTGGTACTGAACCATGGACCTAAAAACAGGATTTGATAAGTATATATTACATTAGTAATAACAGTTAAGGCGAAGGTTTTTTTATGATAAAGGAGGTGACGGTAAATGAAATACTCAATCTATGACTCCGGCTTTGAATATTGGGAAATCCACAGACTAAAACCGACACGCGATTATACTTCTTTTTCATTTGTGGACGAAATTTCAATCCTTACCTACCCCACATCTAATATCCAAATTTCCTTCATGTTTCAGGTAAATTATAAATTTATTTAAACAATTTTTGGACCCAGGTATCGAACACACGGGCCGTTATTAGCCATACCATTACACCAACGAGCCCGTCGAAACAAACTTTAAATCAAAAATCCTATACAATGTATGCATTTCGCAAATCCGTTCTCGCAGATTATAAATTCAGACCACAGACACATTTTAAAAGCTCATTTATTTGAAAACTTGCTCGTACAATCTACCAGTTTAACATACGTACCGTAAGACAGTTAGCTTTTAGTGTTGGCTTGTATTGTATTTGTTCCAAACGGTGCCACATACTTGCGCAAATACTGCAATGTCTACCAAACTGTAAATATTGATCGCTAATTGTCTGCATGTATGTTCAGGAAGTATTTGAAGTGCCTTAGACACGCATCTGTGTCTGCTTGGCTGTTTAAGCTTAAGAACATGTTTCCTTTTATTTAAATATTCTGGCTATTTAAATAAACGGAATTCATTCATATCGTCGAGTGATATAGTTAGAGAGAGTTAGATAGTTATATGTCAAATGTCAAATAAAAAAAGTAAAAAAACTGTTTGTACGTAGATCAATGGATCTGTTATACGATATATCTATGGATGCCTTAAAATATATTTTAAGTACTTATTATTTTGAAATCATTGTAATATATAGCAACGACAGAAACCCCGTTATTATATATTTTATTATAATAAACTAAATAACACAACTCTACGCAGCACTAAAAACAATCGTACGTTGAAATACTAGAGTGAAAAAAAAATTAAAATAGCAAAGAAAACGGTCACTATTCGAGGTTGGCGCCAGACATATCTTTTTAATTTAGTTCCTCGTTCCGTGGCTTTCAATAACATCAGGACTGTATGGTTCTTATGTTCAAGTTATTTAGTGTAATAAAATATCTATCTAGGTAAATCTATTAATAGTTACTTACTTTAGCAATTTAAGAATTGATTAGATATTACACGTCGAACGTTATTAAAATAAATTGTAAATAAGTTATACATTCGCGTTTGTATCCGTTAAAAAGTTTTTTGTTTAAATTGTTTTCTCATCGCACGAAACGGAGCTCTCAGATGCATTATTTTCCCCGCTTTTCCACTGTCACACATTGTCACTATTTCTTTGCATCTTATTGTCGCCTTGTGATGTTTTAAATATAGAAATTAAACAATCTATATGATAAATATCCTCAGTACAGGAATAATTTTTCACATAGAACTAGTAGTTCCTCAGGTTAGCGCGTTCAAACAAACAAACAAACTCTTCAGCTTTATAATATTAGTATAGACGTATCTTATGAAATAGAAGTATATTATTTTTGTTTTTCTCGGTCGCTTTGCGATCGCCTTGCGGCATCTTAAACACAATCGAAAGGCGATCTTGCTATTTAATAAGTTTAAAAATAGACACAACTCATTGTCGCTCTTGTATGTAATCGCGATAAAAAGTTACATGTTACAGATTAATATCAAAGCATATTTTTTATTTTATATTCTACCTATTTTGACGGAATTATATTAGTAAGCATTTGTAGTACATTTGACATTGACATTAGGGATACCATCTTCAGTTCCCCTGTGATCACGGCTGCTGATGTTAAAATATATTGTAAATAACTATCGTTAATATGTATTGTATCGTTGTAGTCTGTAGTTGATGTAATTTAAAAGTTTTGTTTTATTTTTCTGGGTCTAAAAATTAAATCCTTTAATTTGTTTTCTGATATTCAATTTGTCGCTTCAAGTTTTACATATGTGTATGAAATTTATATAAAAAAATAAGTATTTTTAGGTATTAGCCTCTTTTTGTATGCTTTAAATAAATATCAAAAATAATTAAAAGGCGTGCATTGTCCGATGGTCAGATAAATGACTCGACACGATTACATACAGCTTGTTACATTGCGTCCTTGCAAGGCCGACCAGCATTGTACGAATGACATGCGCGTGGGCAACTTATACGTATCGAATTCATCTCGCAGTGAATAGAAAAGCGACAATGCAGTGTGGGAAGAACATCTGGTTCGCCTTAGACGTAACAGGGTTCAGGGGGGCAATTCTTACGAAATAGTTATAGATTCACGTTAATATATAATATAATATATAATACGTTATTTTGGGCATACAAATTCGTTTTTGAAAACCCATTCATCTTTATAAACTTAAGCTGTCACCCACGACTGAGCCGTAGGTAAAATAATTTGCATATAAGTTTAACAAATATATTTCGCGTTTTAAACCGTTAGTGTTACATTCGAATGTGTACTACACGCATTTACCAATGTTTTTATTAAATTATCGAACTTCGACAAAACAACGGTGCAACAAAATATTAAACTAAAAGCTCTTAGTTTCCTAAGAGTTTATTCAACTGTTATTTCTTTAAGATGATTACAGCGATTACCTTCTCTCTTTAACGTCGTGTTACAATTATTGTGCGGTTACAATAATCTTTAATGAAATCGCTAGGAGATCGCGACTCGTTCGTGTCTTAGGTTGCGTCCTTACAAGGCCGTTCTGCTTTGTAGCTATAGTGTCAATTGTCAGCAATATAACACCATGATTACGTCACTGCTGTACGTCATGTACTAGATTTAAACAGATTATAAATCGCATATAATATATAAATTATTATTTGTAGCTTGACCGAGTGGTACACAGTATATAAAACGCAAAACACATTATATTCATATCATTATATGATTTGTCATTACAAAACCTTATATTTTGTTCTCAATTTTTGTAAAGAGGCTATTTCGGCTTTCGAACCGTTCAATATCATTAATTAAAATGCGGTTCTTTAGATCGTTTTATTTAAGTACTTTTTATATTATGTATTTACTGTTACATGTTAGTATAGGCAATATGAATCTTTCTTTATACAAATAATACGAAAACTAAGTATTGTCTAAATATAACGCGGAAGTACACATTTAAATAAAACACTTTTAACAGTTTAAAACGCGAACTGTATTAGTCAAAATTACGAATTTCTTTTAAGCACGTTTTATATGCTTTGCAGCAGCCGTAGTTATAAATAAAGACTAAATAAGTTTATTACTACATTTCCGAACATCCAAAACCAAGGTAGGGCGACTTCTTGTGCAGGTGTTATATGGTTGCGGTATTTCAACTACCATCAGGTGAACTTCATGCTTGACTGTCCTCATCTATCATAAAAAAAACTAAAAACGCTACATCAGAACAAAGCCTAAGTGATCGTATAGTATACCCACGTCAACACAGGTGGCTACGTCCTCACAAGGCCGTCGACCACGGTGGGTGGAAACTGGTTGCGCACTGTACCCAGTATAGAATAACATCAAAGATACTCGTGAGAAAGTAGTCTTGTCTGTTTTTTTATCTTTGTTATTGCCGTTTGTACACGAATTCATAATCTGGGATAAATCCAATCTATATGGATTTGCTTCGGTCCATCTAGGGATAGATGAATAATTCATGAGATCTAGATGTTGTAAATTGCAGCTTAGACTTATTTTTTAGGTATTTCGTGTTTAGTATGTTGTAGGTATGAAAACTTAAAAGTTAATGCACATGTTGGCATTTTAAATAGCAAATCTATGTAGATTTATTATTTTTGTAGGATACGGTAGCTCAATTAGTTAGAGCAGCAACATCGAACGCTATGTATGTCGATTCAAGTCCTGCCCGTATCTTAAATCTTATTTAATGTAAATCGATGTTTAATTTATAATGTAGGTTTGCTAAAATTACATTTACATACAATAATTTATTATGTATTTAAGAGTGCTCATTTTGCCCTAAAGATTACGAATCACGAAAGTAGAGTTATTTATAAAAATTAAACTTACCCAAGCCGCAAATAAGGTAAGTGGGTGGGGGTTTCAGCACGGACCGGGAATATGCCCCCCGGACGGTCTCTAGTGCTCGGGGGGCCCCAGCAACTAGCAGCACCCCGGGGGCCACATACCCTGCATACCGGAGCTCTGCGGTGGCCGCTGCTAGGGCTCCAGCCCACCAGCATTTTGCGTTCGCCGCGAGGAAGCTCTGGAAAGAAGATATAGTATAAGAGCTAAACGAAAAAAAAATTCACGTTGTGAAATGTGAATGTATTGGGTAAAACATTTAAGGTTGATTAAACATTGAGTAAAAACAAATTTTAATGCCTAAAATAACGATTCTATGCGGACAATGTCGCTGACACAGCTGTGTATCGTATTTATTGAAGACTAGCTAGTCTCCAATAAATACGATACGAATAATATTGTATATGTTTTAATGTTCCTTTTTTAAATCTAAATAATTCGAACACAGGACCTTAAACGCGGGTGAAGTATTTTCTTATATTAAACAGCTGTTAAACATATGTCACTACACATCGATGTTAAGTGCAAAGTTAAGTAAATCAGTTCAGTAGTGTACTTAAACTTCCTCCCATTATCCGGTTGTAGGGGTAATTGAGTTACAACAAAATCAGTAAAAGGATGTTGTAATTGCCATTTGTTTGCGAGTTACGAAATCCAAAATGCCAACAAGAACGTGTCAAGGCAACCTGAATTAATCCGAGCAGAGAAATGGGCAAGATCACTGTATAAAAGTTTCATGTACCTAAGTGGTTTAAAATTTGTACAACACTACGCAAAATGGAAAATAAGTTACATTCGAAAAGACAGGGTTCCGTACCTATAAATAGTGACAATTGAAAATGATTAATTTTTTCGTTGTGTGCGATGCCATAACGCTTCAAGAAAATTAAATATCGATTATAAATTGAAAAAAAAAATCGACCAGGGCAGCACCGTCATCCACAACGTTCCGTGCTGTTGCTCTAACCAATTAAAGGACTCCGTAACTCAATAAAATTTTTGTTATTTATTTTTAATTTATAATCGATTTTTTTTATTTATATAGTGCCATTATGTGCCATAACATGTGGAAAATTATTAAAGTTTTCAAACGGTTGAAGAAACCAAAAAATACGAATGTTGGAATGCTTATTCGTTAAATGATAAAAAAAAATGTCTGCAATAGTATGCCTGCCTTTTAAAAGTAATTTGCGAAAACCACCGGATGCAGATGACGTCGTGGGTAAGAACTATAAAAATATAAAGTACTTTATATAACTCATGAGCAGGACAAAATAATTCAAACACTGTCAAAATTGTTGCATACGAAGGTAAGTCACGTTTTCTTGATTATGACAGACTGTTAAAAAACCACAAACGTGATTTTGAACTTGAAACAGGTATGTAAAATTTGCAAAGTACAGTCACAAATAAAAAACATTATTTAAATGTCTGTTTTATTTCTTAAAATCTATATAAATAAATAACTACGGATGGACATGGGATCATATTGCCAATTAAAATATTTATTTTTAAGTTAAAGAAATTTGGTATTGGGATTTGATTTGACATATGTTGTATCGAGCTTTTCGCTTTATTAAGTTTAAGCTCGACAGCAACAAAATTTTAACATCTGTTAGTAATTAAAATCTGTTTATTAATTTGTTAGAATAAATAATGACAGTGTACAGGAATAAAAATTATCTTTAATAAATAGCTGTGATATGGAGATTCTACGAATGCACAGTTATAAAAATAGCTTAACTTTTCCTCATAATATTACACGAGCGTTACACAAGATAATCGTGAGGTCATCTAAACTAGTGATGTCAGAGCTTGTGAAATGTTTCGCGGAAATATAAAATTAACTTGGAGGACAATTTTTACAGTACGTATTTTAAATACGGTGCAGTTTGTTTAACATTTTTAAACTTATAATTTTTGTTGCAACCTATTGTCGTCCCATAGGTCTAAAATCATCTTCAGAGGAAACTCTCACATAGAAGATTATTTTAAGAGCTTAAATCAACCACTCTGCTCCAAAGTAGGTTGGTGGGCTTTTAAGACTGTCGCTACAAAATAAATGGTACACTTCGAGCGTGTAAACATTTTCGGAAAAAAAATCTAAATACATTTCGCCTGATACACAATTGTAACTTGTGATCCTTAGTGCATATACTTTAGACATTTGGCAACTTTTTGAAAAGCGATTTAAACTTTATGAATTCAAATATTCCACATCACAGTATATATGAAAAATTAATACAATGATAAAAAAAATAATTTTAAGAGAAAAAAAATATATTGACACAAACACTTGGCTGTGGAAAGACATCACTCAGCTGTTGCTGCAACAACAGACGTGGTGCCGACTTTCAGTTATACCTCATGGATAACACTTAGAGTGACAACCAGAAATAACAACTTTTGATTTTATAAGGATGGTACACATGCTAGCTATTAAGCTATATCTTCTTTATACAAATTTTATTACTTTCGTTTCTTTCTTGTTCTCGGTTTGTATATTTGCACCTTAATTTGCAAATTTACATCTGCGATAGAATTAACGCAAATAACACGAGGTCATTCACATTTGATATGGCCATAGATCACGAAAAAACTACCGCAAAAAGTTCGGCTAACGAACTTGAATCGTCCATAAACTCACATGTATAATTCAGAGAAAATATCTCTTGGATAACACTGCCACAGATAATATAACGTTGAAATGACAAATAACACATGAAATTTAATATAGAGTTTGCATAAATAATAATTAGTAATTATAGTAATTAAAAGCAAAAATAATGTTTTATATAATTATTAATTCTGTTAGAGATTATTTTGACGGTGTAATTTTTTCATTGGTGTAATGGCGGCAATGTACGGTTAATAATCAACGGTACGTAGATTCGAACCACAATGGGTCAACATGTTTCTAATCAATTTATAATTTTTCTGAAATATATTGAACTTCGTCAGGAAATCTGGATATTAAGTGGGTAGTGGAAATATCGAAATTCCGCTTAGGTCATAAATCACCGTCCACAGATGAAAAAGCCGGGAGATTTAACCATGTTTCGGTTTCCAAAACCAAAATAGGTCAACAGCGCATCTGGTTTAGATGCCCATGCTTGTCTATCCTCTTCCAACATAAAAAAGATAGAAAATATAATACGGGTGCGACGTGAACCAACACCCACAGATCTGGGTGTTGTTGCTGTACCGTAGACACTAAATATCATCTGTCACTGGAGTGATTTGTGTAAAGCTATATGCAATAATATTAAAAAATTATAATGTTTCAAGAAAAACATTTTTGTTTATCTGTATGTCTGCACCTACTAACAAATAGTATTAGTATATTTTTCAGTAGTCTTGTCAACTTTTTCCTTTTAAATTGAGAATACAAGACTCTGTACTGTCAGTAGTTGATGTGAGAAGTACACATTTAAATAATACATTTGTAACGGTTTGAAACACAATATATTAATTAACTTAACTTATCCAGCCTCTCTTTTTCCATGTTCTCAGCCCCACTGTGACCATCACTGCACATTTGCAACGTCGAGTCGTAATTAATATAAATCAAAATAAGTTAACAAATATATTGCGCGTATTAAGCAGTTATAAGTGTTTTATTTAACAAAAGTTGTTTCAAGCTTGCAAGGTAATACGAAATTATGTAATTTCATTACTACTTGTATGTAATATTGTTTTATTAAGTAAATGAAGCATAGTCTGTTATTATGTCTATAATTTTTTTTTCTCTGTCAAAGTTCTTAAGTGTAAACTTATCGATGCATGTAATTTCATGTATAAGGGGTTCCCTTGGGAATGTTCATCTAGCGTGGCCTTTTTACAGTGTGTACAACAGATAATTAACTTTGTGTTAAGTAATTAATAATTAAGTAATAAATCATTTTTCTTCACTTGATGGTAGATGAAATACCACAGCCATATAACGTCTCATAAGATGTCGACTTATTTTAAATATTGGGAATTCCAAGGACTGCAATCGAAACGCGATTAAACTTTTGTTATCTGTGGACTGTGGGTCGTGACTCGGACGGAATTTCGATATTTCTACCACCCAAGCTTGTCTGTCCTCTATAAGAAGAAAAGTTTTTACTTGTTAGTCTAAATGAATAAATGAAATTGTTGACAATAAAAACATTAAATACTGGGAGTAGTACACATTTAAATAAAACAACTTCAACTGTTTAAAATACCATATATATTAGTTAAACTTATCTGAAAATTATTTTAACTACAGGGAGCCACCGCGACCACGCCGCTGCAAAGCATCCGAAACGTCGCGCCGTACTTAAAATAATTTTCAAATAAGTTTAACTAATATATATCGCGTTTTAAACCGTTAAATTGTTTTCTTAAAATATAAACATTGTATATTAATCTACGAAAATCTTAATGATTAAGCCATATAAAAATGTCTGTTTTTACTTGTCAAATAGCTGTTTATATAACATTTTGTCTTCATTTCCCTATCTGTCGTATCTTTAATCTCTGAATGTGTATGCAGAGGAAAGCAGCTCTCGATAAGATTACAATCAGTTCTCACATTTAGTTCCGTGATTAAATTACTTAAATGAAATGTATTGTTGTTTGATTGTTCGAATTAATTGCGTACTTGTAGGTAGGCCGCTGTTGACCCTTTTGTGGGAAGTGTAAAGAAAATTCCACATATTGCTTTTCCTTGTCACTTATACTACACTGTATATTATTACTTCCAATTTATTTCAAATATTTAAAGACTAAAGCAGTGGAGGTAACGTGGATTTTTAAGTACTGTATGTGGTTTACTTAACTTCTACTTTGAATAAAAGAAACTGTTTATAACACGAAATATACTGTTTTATTTATGTATTTAAAGAGTAATGCAAATAAGCAGCATGTGGATTTGTAAGCATTGTTTGTAGTAACAATAAAATAAAAAAAAATAAGTTTTACTAATATATATCGGGCTATTTTATTTAAATGTGTAGGTACTAATCGCGTAAACTACAGACCGTATTATATTAAATGCAACTGTTTATAACACGAAATATATTTCTTTTTACCAGCCTTATACGGAGGGTGTAGTATCGACATTATAAATCGGTTTTTTTTTTTCAATTTTTATCACGTGCCGTTTATAGAGATTTATTTACGTTTTTATCTATTATCTGGACAAAAACAGAT